CCTAGTCTAAAGTATTTTCACATTTGGGGATGTCCGGCTGAGGCTAAGCCTTATAGGCCACATGAAAAGAAATTGGACTCTAAAACAGTGAGCAGCTACTTTATTGGTTATTTTGAGCGATCAAAGGGTTAGAAAGTTTATGATCCTATACTTAAGTGAATTTTTGAAATGGGAACTGCAACATTTTTTTAGGATGTTAAGTTTGGAGGGGGGAGGGGAAATAAAGTTAGAGATATTGTCTTTGAGGAAGAAGTTGAGGAATGATCAGTTTCGATTCCTACTATTGCTTTTGACAATGTACAGGTTCCTATATTTGTCGTTGATCAAGAAGTATATCCAGAATCTTAACAAGACAATGTTGAAGAACCTCCCATTCAAAATGAGGTAATTATTCTAGAAGTACAAATTCAACAACCTCAAAAGCCAATACCATTAAGGAGATTTACGAAAGAAATGAAAAATGCTATTTCAAATGATTTTATAGTATTTCTCCAAGATGATCCAATCAATTTCCATCAGGCCATGCAAGATTCTAACTTTCAAAAGTGGATTGATTGAAGAGTATAAGTCTATACAAGACAATAAAGTTTGAGATCTTGTCACGTTACCAGAAGGTGCGAAGCCCATGTGTTGTAAATGGATTTTTAAAACCAAGATTGCAAATGGATTTTTAAAACTAAAAGGGATTCGAAAGGTAATGTAGAAATTTATAAGGCTTATTTTGTAGCTAAAAGCTTTACCCAAAAAGGAAGGCATCGACTTCAAAGAGACTTTCTCTCCAATTTCAACGAATGACTCTTTCAGGATAATTATGACACTTGTTGCGCACCTTGACCTTGAGCTACATCACATGGATGTTAAGACAGCGTTTCTCAATGGAGATATTGATGAGATGATCTATATGGTGCAACCAAAAAACTTTGTGTCAGAAAACCAGAAAAATATGGTTTGAAAATTAAAGAAATTCATCTATGGACTCAAGCAAGCTTCCCATTAATGGTACTACAACTTTTATCAAGTAATTATCTCATTTGATTTTGAGATGAATGTTGTCGATGATTGTGTGTATCACAAGTTCAGTAGGCGTAAACATATTTTCCTAATTTTGTATGATGATGGCATATTACTTGCCACTAATGATATAGGCATGTTACATGAAATTAAGAGATTTTTATTAAGGAATTTTGAGATGAAAGATTTTGGTGACGCCTCTTTTGTATTAGGGATTCAGATACACCGAGATCGCTCCCGAGGTATTCTTCGATTGCCACAAAAGTGCTATATAGATAAAGTACTTAAGAGGTTTGGCATACAAAATTGTAAATCAAGTTACACCCCATGTCGTTAAGGGAGACAAATTTAGTGTTAAACAATGCCCACAAAATGACCTTGAAGTTAAGGAAATGCAGAAGATTCCCTATGCATCAATTGTTGGGAGTCTAATGTATGATCAAATTTGTACACTTCCAGACGTAGCATTAATTTTTGGAATGTTAGGCAGATATTTGAGCAATCCTATGATAGATCATTGGAAAGCAACCAAAAGGGTTATGAGGTATTTAAAGAGAACAAATGATTACATGCTCACATATATCAGATCGGATCAGTTAGAGATTATAGAGTACTCCGATTCTAATTTTGCTGGATGCCGATAGTATGAGATCCACATCAGACTGTATCTATCTGCAAGCTGGAGGAGCTATTTCCTGGAAGAGTGCCGGCAGACACTCATAACTTCTTCTACCATGACAGCAGAGTTTGTTGTATGCTATGAGGCATCTAACCATGGAATATGGTTATGAAATTTTGTTACTGGGCTGCGCATTTTGAATGGCGTAGAAAGACTGCTAAAGTTATATTGTGACAATAACTTAACAATTTTATATTCCAATAACAACAAGAGTTCATCTAAGTCAAAACACATTGAAATTAAGTTTTTGATTGTGAAGGAAAAAGAACAGAGTGGACAGATTTTCATATAGCACATTGGGAAAAACTCCATGATTGCGAATTAAGAGATTGCCACCCAATGTCTTTCATGAGCACACTGCTCGTAGTGTTTTATTTCATAAGGATATCATATTCTAGTAGGAGTTTGTATTCTCATTGCTTTGTGTTTTTGACACATTTGTGTATTTGGATATTTTTCTATACAGAAATAAAGTATTTTGTTCATTTCACTCTGTTGTTATGTTCAGTATTGATCTCAGTTAAGAAATAAGGTTGAACAAGTTGGAAATAGACATATTTGGACACATAACATGTAATTTTTATGCTGCACTCCCACGATTGATTTGTGTCATTTGGTGATATAGGTGTACGTCACCATTGATGGATTCAACCACGCTAAATGTGACGAAAATTGTTTTGATCCTATATCAATATAATTGATAGACGAGATTGTTTGGAAATACCCATAATAATAATAACAAAATTTTAAACTCATAAAGTTGTGCACATTTGTAAAATTATATGTATGGCATGGTGAGAAATTGTTGGAAAATTCCAACATATTGGGCCACACATGTATCTATATTAAAATGTGTGGTGCTATTTTTAAAGATTAGTCAATAAAGTGATCCATTAAAACTGATTTTGGACTAAATGGTATTAAATGTCATGAAATTAAAGTGTAGAGACCAAAACGATTATTTTAAATTGATGAGGGGCCAATTTGAAAGATCCAAAAAATAATAACTGCATATACAGTTATTATACCATGGGGTCATGGTTCCCAATTGAACGTGAGTTTTCCATCTCTCTGCATCCCCATCAACAGAAAAGAATTCTAAGGAACCACGTGTGTGTGTGTGAAAAGGGTTTGATATAGTTTTGGATTGATAATCCCTTTTCAAATTCCATCACATGTTTGGCCCCCATTAATTTTTAATTCATTTTTATCTCTCCTCTTATCAATCATACATTCTCTCAATGAAATATTATTACACATAAACCAAAAAAATTCTCCTTACTTTTTAACTACACATTCTTCAAAAAATACTATTCCAATTTTATTTTTTTTCAAATCATGGAGCTCAAACAAGGGCTTAGGGATTGTTTGAATCCAATTTTTTTTAGGAGAATGAATTTTATGATAGTGGTTTTGTAGAGAATGTGCGGTTAAAAAAGTAAGATAAACTTTTAGATTTACGTTAATTTTTTTAATAGAAGAATGTATGATCGAAAATAAAATTAGAGAGAAATGTTTTTTTTAAAGAATGTATCTCAAACAGGAACTTAGTAATGTGAGCAGAAAATAACATAAAAACATATATAGTTTTAAAATCATCCTATTTTAAAAGCTTCGCCGTGTTTGAACTTTTTTTTTTCTCTCTAAAAACACTTATTTTTTTCTCAAAATCATTTTCAATCATACATCTTTTTAATAAGATAATTTTACACGTAAATTCAAAAAATATTCTTATTTTTTAATCACAAATTTATCCAACAAATTACTATTATAAAATTTATTTCCCAAAAATGGGGCTCAAATCGGGCCAAAGTGTAAATAGTACAATGCCTAATTTTTAAGGTTCCATATGGAGAAAGCTTAACACCATGTCTTGACATTTCATAGGTCCTTCAAAAAATTAATTATAGTACAAAATAGAATTGAACTGAACCAATCTATAATTAAATTTGGACTCGACGATTTCACTTACTAAACACTCAGAAATTCTGTTGACGATATCCAGCCCTAATTTCTATTTTAACAAGGAGTTTACCTTTTTAAGTAAAGTGCACGTTGTTGTGTTTCCATAAAAGGAAAAAATTGATTTTCAACTTTTTTTTCAAACTACGCCATCTCTAATTTTCAATTTCGCACCATCACTAGTCACCAACTTGAATTTGTGAGCTTTGAGGACAATCATGGTGCAGTGGTGTTGGTATACATAATACATTAAATACACGACTAATATCAAACTTAAACTTCTGTTTGGTGGGTGTTAAAATCAAAATTTTAATAGATTTTTTATAAAAGTTAATGAAATGTGTGGTTGAAAAGTTATGAACCGATAAATTGTTGTTAAAATTGATTGTTAAATTTAACTTAAATTAAATTTTAAATTAAAATCACTACCAAACAGAGGATATAAATCTCATAAATTTATTGTTTAACAAAGATTTTTAGCTTTTATTTGCTTTTACTAAAAGTTTGATTTAATAAAAGTTGATGAAATGTGTTGTTAAAAAGTTAATAAAATTGTAAGTTGTATGAAATGTAGGATTAAAATTAATTATTGAATTAATTTAAACTTTTATTAACTTTTTTAAGTGAATCGAATATGGACTTGTACTAAGGTCCTCCCCTAATTATTTTTAAATTCCGACAGGGAATCGAAATACAATTCTTTAACGTTAAATATTGATAATCCATCCAGAACAGTCACATCCATTGAACCAACCATTCCTCATCATCCCCTCCATTTTTCCTCCCCTTCTTCCTCTAAATCCTAAACATTAACCCCAAAATTCCACTCAACAATTTCTCCCTATAAATTCATGGGGTAAAATATTTTTCATTCTCTTTTCCTTTTCACAGATCCCAATTTCCCCCTCCCTTCGTATTTTCCCTCCCAATGAAATGATCGCGAACTCCAGCGATCCCGGCTCCAATTCCCTCGACTTGTCCTCATCGAAATCCGTAAACGAAACAGTTAATGGATCCCACCACTTCACCATTCGCGGGTTTTCCTTGGCCAAGGGCATGGGGCCGGGGAAATACATTCAATCTGAAACCTTCAGCGTAGGTGGCTACGAATGGGCAATTTACTTCTACCCAGATGGGAAAAACCCCGAGGATTCTTCCATGTATGTATCGGTCTTTATTGCACTTGCTAGTGACGGTACTGATGTGAGGGCTCTATTTGAATTGACGCTGTTGGACCAGAGTGGGAAAGGGAAGCACAAGGTGCATAGCCATTTTGATAGGGCCCTCGAGAGTGGGCCATACACTCTTAAATACAGGGGAAGCATGTGGTACGTATCTCGAGGGATTGCTGATTGTTGATTTTATGTGTATCTTTGCAATTTAACTGTAATTCTGAAATGTGAGTAATTTCTTGAATTAGGGTTTTGGGGTTTTGGAAATGAACTTAATTACGTAAAATTGTCAATTGATTATGCAATTATTTGTCCCTCACTAATTTTTCTCTTATGTGATCATCAATAATATATGCATTTCTTATTGACTTGGGGGTTTAGGGGTTAAACTACTTTGCCGGAAGAATAATGCCAGAAACAGTGCCAGAATCCTAAGTGGCTAGAGGTGATTTGATGGAAAAAATGACTATGTTTTACTCAGTCAAATGATTGAGTGCCATGTCACATTATGTCATTTATTTTGGCACTATAGCATGGTTCAAAAATTATTTTAAACAGAAAAACAAGTTTTTTTCCCTTGTGTCTAGCATATTTACATCAATGATCATTCTTTAACTATAAGTAAAGGTAGTTGCAACCAAAAATTGTGGTTTAATTTTTCAATTTTGTATGATTTGGTGGACCTAAAAGTGTTGTATTATTGGAATGGGATTTGGTTTCGGGGTTTCAATTTGGTGTGGTTTGATTGAGCTAAAAGTGTTGTATCATTGGACTAGGGTTTGATTTTGGGATTTGTGACAGATTTTTTTTTTCTTTTCTCAACTATGAGGACTGAACTGAGACTGTGGAAGAATGGTGATAAGTAGAAGGAAGACCCCGGCTGATTTTCTAATATAATGCATTTGACATATTTAAATTTACTTTGCAACATAAAGTGAAAGAACCTTCATTCTGCTGCCCACATGTTATCTGTTTCTTGTTTTTCAGGGGTTACAAACGATTTTACAGAAGGACTACTTTAGAAACTTCTGATTTTTTAAAGGATGATTGTCTTGCCATGAGTTGCACTGTGGGAGTTGTAAGAACTCGTATTGAGGGACCCCCCGAACTGTACAGTGTTCCTGTCCCGCCATCGGACATGGGCGAAAATCTCAAGTACCTTCTTGATTCTGAACTTGGATGCGATATAGTTTTCCAGGTTGGTGAGGAGACATTCAAAGCTCATAAGTTGATACTTGCTACCCGATCTCCCGTGTTTAGAGCCCAATTTTTTGGATTTGTTGGAAATCCTAATACTGACAAAGTAGAGCTTGAGGATATTGAACCTTGTATCTTCAGGGTAATATTTCTATTTCTCTTCCTTAATATTGAATGCTGTGGTTCAATGAATTGAAAATCAGGACGTGCATTCTCATTCAAGAATTTAAATGACTTCCCACTGGTCCATAAAAGATTTTTGCTATTCTGTGTCAGAATTATCCCTCTGCATGTTACACATGCACAATTGTTACAACTGGTGCACTGTGTCAAAATGAGGTGGCTCTAGGAGATTGAATTCTGCTGGTATTTGTGAAATTTAAACATGAGCATCTTTAGATTTTTGAACAAATTCTTTTGATGTTATAGAATGGCCTTATTTAAAGCAGTTTTAGCAGCTCATCTTCACTTAATTTTGAGGTTACAGTAGGAATAAGTGTTCGATATTGTTTTAAGTGGATGGACCTTGAATAGCTTGTTATTATCCTTTAGGGTCTGTGCAGTGCTTATAATAGGTTAGACGGAGTTCTATCAAAAAAAATAATAGGTTAGATGGAGATGTGGTTGTCCACAAGGAAGCAAAATCTGGTGGGAAACTTGAAAGTTCTTTATATTTATCAGACTGCATTATTGACTGAAAGATAGTTCTTTGTCTCTTTTACTTTTTTGCTTTCTTTTGTTATTTACCAAGTAATTCTACAGATTTTTAGCAACGTCAGACTTGGTTCTATCTTAAGCTTGAAAAATCACTAAGACATGGCAGAAACAGCCCTGCTTGTTCCAAATTTATCTTATTTGGCCCAGTTGATTTATGTGGGCTTACATCGTTCTGCAGGCAATGCTCCATTTTATCTACTCTGACAACCTTGTCGATTTACAAGAAACTACTGGCTCAACATCTACCAGTACTTCTGCAATCATGATGCAGCATTTATTGGCTGCTTCTGAACGATTTTGTTTAGATAGGTTGAAACAGTTATGTGAAGCGAAATTGTGTGAAGAGGTTAGTGCTGATACAGTGGCAACCACTCTTTCTCTGGCAGAACAGCATCACTGTCCACAGCTCAAGGCTATATGTCTGAACTTTGCAGCAACAAACTTGGGAGGTACGTGTAGTCCATAGATTTGAGTGGTGCAATGTTTAAAGTTATTTTATTTATAGTTCGTCTGTTATCTGCAGGTATAATCTTGATGCTATTGAATGCATGTGAACCAAGGGGAACGTTTAAGGTTCTCTAGTTCTCAAGATCTGAAAAATGTTGAAGAAACTAATAATTATTGTATAAAAAAACATCGCAATTTTTCTTGTCAATGGTTGTATTCAAAGAATTATGAATAGTTAATTTAGTACTTGAGAGGAGAGTGAACAATGAAGTAAGTTTGAGAAAACTTTCTTCTTCTATCTTATTCCTTTTTTTATTTTTCTTTGGGGAGTGCGAGTGGTGGTTAGCAGGAAAGACAAAGTATTAGGAAGGTTAGGGAAATATTTTTTTATAATTTAGTTTAGCCTGTGATATATGTTGAACCAGTTGATCTAAAGCTTAAGCGGTTGGATAGAACCACATTTATATCATTTAAATATTGTCTTCAACGTGCCCTCACATGTATGTGAGGTTCTTTTTTTCCAGTCAGGACATGCACATTTCGTTTAATGGGTACTGGGTAGACAGAGTTCAACATGCTTCCTCACCTCACGTTTAAGCTGTCAACATGCACAATTCATTTAAATGGGTGATGGTGAGACTTGAATTCTTTGCTTGCTCGCACACTATGTTGAACTAGTTGATCTAAAAGCTTGAGCTCTTAGATAGGCCACATCTATGTTATTTAAATATTGTCTTCAACAAATCTTTTCTCTATTTGCAGTTGCCATTATTAAGCTTTCTTGTAGAGGACAAAAGTCTAGTAGGTAGGCAACATGTATTCCGTTATTATTTAATTTCAACAAGCCCTCTACTATTGCAGCAGTAGCAGTACCTTTTTAAAAGTTTGTACTGCCTACCGTACTCATCTTCCTAATAGGAGGAATTTGATGAAGCACTGCTGAACTGTTAGGCTGTGTTTTGTTAAGATTAAAAAGCCAGTTTTACTAGGTTTAAGTTAAAACCAGTTTTCTCTGCAGTTTACTTGACAAAAGTATTGACACATGTGACTGTATGCAATAGCACGTAAAACCTTTTCTTTTCTTTTTTTTTTTTTTTTTTGGGTTTGCAACTAGCATTCAAGAATAATATGGTTTTCTCAGTGATGAACAATACCATGAATGGATTTCTCCAGATTGATGGTTTTCTTTTTGTTGAACTGAAAACTACATGTCAGTAGGGTCTTCCTATGATTTATCTATTTGCTAATACCTTGATGTTGCTGTAGTGGTGATGCATTCAGATGGATTCAAACACTTGGAACAGAGCTGCCCCTCGCTGTTGTCTGAGCTTCTGGAAACAGTTGCATCAGTGGATGAGAAGTCAAATCTTATGCCGAATAAGAAAAGAAGTGGCAGCAGTATCTTTGGGCTAGATCTGGCGGCTGATGGTGGTGTGGTCGAATCTTTAAATCCTAATGGCAGGCGTTTGCGTAGGCGGGTATAGCATTGTGATTGCATGGCATTGTATAAATGCTGCGAAATATGACCGAAAATGTACCATTGAATTCTAGTTTGCCATACCGTGTTTATATTAGTTAATCTTCATGTTTCTTTGCTCACTATGAAATGAAGTTCTAAAACTTGCATAAGATATGAAATTTTATTTCTAATATCAGCATGTTCTTGTCCTGTCCCTGACTCTATGGACAGCTGTGATATTGGATGGTTCCATTCTACTGTGTTGTATGTATGTACTATATTTTAGGTGTAAATGAAATCATTTCAAATAAATAATTTCTATGTGACCATTTTTGTTCTCATTTAAAACTGAAGGAAGATTTTCCCCTCTTCTTTATAAATTTGAATGGTGATTCAATGCGAAATGGCTTTCTTGATTTTTCATGTTTATAAACATTCAAGTCACTTTTTAATTCAAATATATTGAGGGTTCCGTTAGTATTATTCACTTATGACTCATTTCTATCCATTTATAATTTAGTACAGTTTATAAATACTTTCCAAACATGTTTACATGTCTGAAGTTTGGAAGCGTTTTTTTGTTTGCGAATTCTATTACATGAAGTATCTGAATGTAGAGCAATAGGCAAATGTGATATTTCCAACTGGCTTCATGAACTTACATCGACGCTAGCTGATTCATCTGAACAAAATTTCCTTGGAAAGGTAAGAGTCTCACAATCAAAATTGTATTTTGTTCCATTCAGTTTTCCTTGCCAAAACCATATTTTTCTCAGAATTTTGGACTTCCAATGTTTTCCTGCTCAATAGACTGTTTGTATATGAATTGTAAAGAAATAATATACATCGTGTTTATAAAGTTATAAATAATTATAAGTCAATTATACAATCCACATTTAAGAAAAATAATACTAAATTCAGAAAAACAATAACACTCAATTGAGCTCCTATTTGGTGTATCTAAAAATCAGACTTTTAATAAATTTGAATAAAAAATGATGAAATGTGTGGTTGAAAAGTTAATAAAAGTGGTGGTTTTATTAAATATATAGTTAAAATTAATTATCAACTTTTTAAATAACACCAAGTTTGTACTGTGTGCCTTATTATTTCCTATTCCTGCTTTATGTCTTGTACTTATATTAATTAATATCAAACTTTTATTCGGGCGTACATTAGAATATACGTGATTCCTCTCCAAACAATGGCACAAACAAAATATAACTAGAAAATAATACATCTACTCGTCAATAATTTTTGAATTATGGCAAAACCCAAAGGGCCTTTGTTTAAACACGGCTTGATCCATCTTTTTAATCTAAACTCTCCTCAAATAGTTCACGATAAGATTCGTGCATATCAAGTTCATCCTCAGATTTCTCACTCTTTTCATCACTTTCAATCTTATCAATTTCCTTATCAGATTCTATGGTAACTATAGACGTGAAGGCCACGAACTTTTTATTATCTTCACCATCAGAAATATCACTCTGAGCACTAGAATGAAATTCGTCATCGCTTAAGGTCACTGTTAAAACCTTACGTCTACCATTATTAGAATTTTTTTTCAAGTTAGGACACCCTGACACTCACGGTATCTAACAGATTGAATTTTTTTATTAGCAGTCCTAGAGTCACTCTCTTCACAATTATCTTTCACGAATTTACTAGAGAATCCACTTTTCCGTTCTTGAGGTTTTCTCCTATTCCTCATCGCTTTCTGAAATTTTTTAACGAAATATGCTATTTCGTCGTCCCTATGTGACTCAACATCAATAGACTCACTTTGCTCTTTTCCAATAGTGTTCATAGCAATGGAATTAACCTTTTTTAGGTTGGGAGACGGTGAGTCCATAAGTTTAAAGAGATTCTACGAGTTCTTCTATCTTAACAGCATCTAAGTCCTTACTTTCTTCTATCGCAATAACCTTAGATCTAAACAACAATTAATTATCAAAAACCCGTCGTTCAGAGTAATGGAATGCATTCAAACTACCCAAAAACAAGAAATAAGAAAAGCAATGAAACTTCATAGTTAATATTGCACATATGCTTCTCCTGAGTGTGTGCATTTATCATCGCCTTTTCTTCGGGTATGATATGGGCACCAAAAAAGTGCATATAGCGTCGCTAGTTTTCTTTAAAACACGAAACAAGAATCAAAATATGAAGTCATCATCAAATAAACCTTGGCCCCAAGCACATAGTATTATATCTCGGCAAGCAGAACCAATTTGATCTATTTATCTTTCAGGTACTGGCCTCCATACTTGTCTTTGACTAGAAGACGCCTCACCCTGTCCACTCATTGTTTCATTTCGACTGTTATCAACCCTCGTGTTTTGGAGCTGTCCATTCATTGTCCCATTTCGACTGTTGTCAATCCTCAAGTTTTGAAACTGCTGTTGAAGTTGTCCAGGAACCTGCCTCCGAGCATGTTGGTGAGACCCGAGTCCTTTTCTGATGTAATTATTAGAAGGTGTTCTTGGCATAGATTGTGCAGTTGCTTGGTGTCTAACAGGCGTTCTAGCCACTAAATGTGATAATTGTGGCCTGATGAGATTCATAAGGAGAGAAGTTTGATTATGGTTGGATGAGACAAGTACTTGGTGAGTAGCCCGAGCAGCTCCCAAAATCCTCATCAACTGGATACTGCCAACTGTCCTAGCTGTATTCACCGGCTGCTCAAAGGGATCCTCAACCTAACAGGCATTAGCAATGTCACTAATACAGAAACACGCGTTTGTGCATTGTATCTCCCATGTTTGAGAGAGAGAGAGAGAGAGAGAGAGAGATTACAAAAAGTGCATAAGTTCTGGGTAACCATCTCATGTTGCTGTCAATGTCTTCCCACTGTCCAGCATATGGGCTAACACCTTGCACAGAAGCCCTTGAACAAATTTCAAAAAACTGAAGGTGCAAAGAGATAAAGTGCCGGTCAATGATGCTGAAATAACTACTGTGCTCAACTATTGTAATATATTCAAGGTGATACAACAGTCACATGTGCCACAGTAGTTAAGATGTTGCCTTGGGAAATGAAGTGCCGAAGTTGTTACCTTTGCAACGAAGGAAATGAAGAGCTCAGACAAAGAGCTTCTGTTGATCAATCTCGACCTGTCAGATTTAATTCTGTTTATATTTACTGCACATGTCTCTTCAATACGCTTCTCTGCAACAGCTCTCACACCTTTGCAAGAGAGTGATCAAGTTCGTGAGTGTAAACGTAACAATGATCTACTATGAAATTTATTGTACCAAAATATGTGCTTAATTATGTATAATACATGCCCAATAATAAACTGCTTCTGCAAATACTTTATAAAAATCGAGACGAGAGTACCCGTGAGGTCATCAATCATATTTCCTGGATATATTTCTCTAAGAGGAGGTAAAATTGCCGGTTCTAAAGTCTGCAAGGTATTTGGAGAAACCAGATATATAAGTAAAAGAAAAAGCTGGTAATCAATGAATGTATTAACAGATATATATGACTCTGACATACAAATCGTACGGGAAATATACATGTACACATCATGGCAAAAGTATTAAGCCTATGTTTGGCTCATGTTTAAAAATACTCAAGTCACTTCTTGTCCATACATTTCGAGGGATCCACAAGTACTACCCACTTATCTACCACTCATTTTATCTATTTGTAATTTAAACCTTACCACATTATCGGAGTTTATTTTTCCCTTATTTATTAATGTACCATGTTGGGGGGCAAAAGACTACTATTTCCCCGAAGCCCCAAAAGAGAACTCCCTAATATCATTTGCAGGTTAAAAAATGGCACGCAACCGTACCTGAAGATGGAATACCACAAGCAAGCTAAGAGTATGTGAGTTCAAAGTTCCAGATTTTGGATCATTAATATTATGAGCTTTGGCCCATTCCTTCACCTACAAGTGGAGATTCATACAATCATATTACAGCATATCTCTCCAACAAGTAATATCTTTCCTATCTTACGTAAACTTGCCAGTAAAACTAGATCACGGAAGCGTCCATCAATCTCATTGATCCAGAATAGCAGTTTTGACTTCATTTGACCACCTAAATTGTTTATTGAGATGTCACAAGAGATGTTGCCTCTGCCCTCAAATTTCAAAATGGGTACCCTAGCGTTGGAAATGAATTGCAGCTTATGCCATCCACCTGCAAAATGAATTGAGACAAAATTCAATCAGGAAGTGTATATTGGCCTTATGTTGAAAACATACACCCTTTTTCTGCCATTTTTAAGTTTACCCAGCCAAACAGATAAATCTTCCTCAGCTCCAATTTCTTGATTCATTTCATTCTCATGTTACTTATTTAAAGCATAGTATCCTTTTGGTGGGAGAATCATCGAGCATCTTATCTATCTCGGATTTCATCATCTATCAAAATTAATTGTTCTCAAGAATCATGAGCAGCTTTGAGACACCAGTATAGAAATATTATACTTTTGAGCACATTGAGCATCTCATCTATCTCAGATTTTATGGTCTATCAACACTAATTGTTCGCATGAGTAAATGGTAGCTTTGAGCCACCACTCTAGAAATCTTTTCTTTTAGCTTTGTATCTTCTACATAAATGTGTATGATGCGACTATTTTCTTTCTTGTTTCACATTATCACACGAAGATGCAACAGCTGCATTTACAGAAAGAGTTTTGCTTCATGTACAGAAGCAAAACCAACAGAACACTCACACTCGGTGGGGCTCGCACAATTTTTTTTCTTTCAAATACACGATGGGGCCCACTCATTGTGGGTATTTTGTGAATTTCTGTGAAAGCCATTTCTGTACAAATGGATTTTTCCTTACAGAAATGCACGAGTTTCACAATATCACATGAAGATGAACTGCCAGATCTTCATAATTCTGGTAGCAAGGAGAAGCTTTCAAAGATGAAAGCAAGACTTGATGGTAAGAAAATTACAAAAGTAAAATGCAAAGAAAAAACATTTTATTTAATTTATGGCTAAATGAAGCATTTACGATGCAAAAGGTAAGACAAAAACGAAAATGAAAAAGAAAAAGTAAAAAGCAGATGCAGCTTAAGGACAAACAGTGAGGTATTATTTATTAATAGCAGATTACCTTTACTTCTCAGAGCTTTTAGTACATCTCCCAGTAAACTTTGCTTGTGTTTTTTCCCAGGGGACGAAATATATGAACCATTAGGCAACTCTATCGATATATCCAAATCTGCCCATCTTGTGAAGAGATTAGATGCAAAAGATCCAAATGGTTCCACTGTTGCACCTGTTTTCACCATCAGAGCCTTACACTCGTAAATAAATGTTAACCGAAAATCCTTAAACTATGAGCATATAGTTTTCTTTGTTATTGAAATTCAGAAATCATGGAAAATTCTATTTCACATGAAAATAATTTCAATCAACCACTAGAGAGCAGAGAGTAGAACATGATGGCAACAAAAATAAATATTACTTAGAGAAACATCACTGGTTCAACCCCCACATATTATTTCTAATTTTAAATGATATCCATTTTGAATTCTTACAAGTTTCCACAACTAGAGATCAGTTTAGGATTTTTAATATATAAAATGATCATACTGATAATAACAACAATAAAAAAAAGAACCATCTCTATTATCAGTAAGTCATGGATTTCCAGAACTTAACCACGTCAGATAGATGAAGGAAGAAGTTAAAGAAGAGAGACTTTTTTTCCATAGGATTTATAGAAAGAAAAGGGGAGAAACGTGTACATTAGAATGAAAGCATTAACTTGCATGGGAAAGGATTGGGAATATCAGGCTCAATAGTCAACTATATATAGACAGATTGTATAGGTAAGGTGACAAAAAAATTTCAGGTAATTTGCATGCACCTTCTTCTGATTCCCATGTCACGATATTTGCTCGAGGACACCTTGCCTAAAAAACACTATTTAAATCAATTGTAACCATCTAGAAGGATTTTGGATTTAAACCCTCAAGTAAAAATCCAAATGAAATATATCTTTGACGAGCTGCATGATTGAACCAAAAAAATAACAGGACATTCAGTTGGAGACAAAAGGAGTAACCATTACACTATTCTAGATACTTAAAATTAATCTACAAGACATTTTCCACTTACGTAGAAAAATGCATGGAAAAGTTTTTTAATTTGCTAAACATAGCTATGTAATTTGACATCACAGATAAGTGGATTTGCCTTTACAACTGCATAGCATAAAAGATCAAATTCTTCCTCGCGGAGGACTAGGCTCCTAGAGATTGTCAGGTAACTTAACCAATTCTTCCCCAATTGAGGTCTCAAAAAGCCTTTAATTTATTTCACTTCCTTTCCGTACCACACTATGAGAAAGTTTTTGCGAGAATTATGGAAGCTAGACAAAGATGTCCAGAAATGAAGTGACAAAGAGCAAGAAATGACATACTTTGAAGTATCATATACCTCTCAGACTTTCTATGGATTCAACAACAGCTCGAAGCTCATCAATGATATGAAACCTTACAGTCCAATCCTCTGTCAAGGGATTGATCACATGCAGGATATCCCTGAGGGTAATCTCCAACAAATTAAATCCATTCATTTTGAGTGCTAGATAATGCTACCTGACAACAGATTACATCTCACACTTTCGGATGTAAGAAAAATCCCTGCGTATACGAGGAAATAACATGAGAATGGTAACAAGTAAAGCTGGCATAGAAAAAGTGTTATGCTCTTCTCAAACGATGAATGTTACAGAGAATGAATAGAATGAAACATATGAAGCAAGCAGGAAATTAAAAAAGAACCAAAACAAGTTGAAGAGCTAACTAGTTCAAAAATGAGAATAAGATGTAAAGTTTAGAGTCCGACCAAATGATAATATAAATTTGACATTGTGAAACAGGCTATTTTTCCAGCATTTTTAGCCCCCATTTGACAACCATTATTGGATAACTCTTTTCTATGTACTCATTTTCAACCACGCAGTCACATAATAAAATATTTTGCACGTAAATCCAAAACTTTTCACTACTTTTTAATCACACATTCTCCAAAAAATCACTATTCAAAACATTGTTTTGGCTAAAGAATGCCCATCAAACAGGGGCTAAAGATGGCTGCTTACAACATTTGAACAAAGCTATAAAAAGAGATGCATTGGGGGCAGCAACAATGTGTTGTATGCTGCAGATTAAGGACTAAAAAGACATTGCAACAGGAAGTTTCCTGGCCATCCACGAAAACAAAAGTTTGAATGACATCAATGTAGAAGTGTGCAAAAATATTTTTGTGAAAGCATTCTGAACAATTATTGTGAAAGCATGTTTCCCAATTACTCAATGTGCTTGCCGGTGATAAGTGGATTTATGTGGAAAAATAGTTCCCCAGTCTATAAAAAACAAAAAAATTGAGTAAAGGAAAATAAGAAAAAAGAAAACAATTCCTCAGTGAAGTAATGAAAAAGTTATAGGAGTAATCATACACAAATGTTTTGGTTAGCAAAATCATGGCCTTTCAAACTAACAATTTTCTATACAAAAAATTAGTTTTTAGCACAGAATAATATACTATGCATCTTGATATGCACAAAGTGAGGTAAGAAAATAGTGGGAATGTGATCACATACATTGAAAAAGTGAGAAATGTGACCATATACTATAGTTGACTATCACAGCAAGTCAAATATCTTTTATGATGCCTTATATTCCTTACATCATCAAAAGGAGTAAGTTCATGGTTGGCACCATATTGACATCAAAACTTAATCAACAATGAGATCACAAATAATGAAAAGTATTAAGAACGTTCGTAGGGGTGAAATTCTCACATCTTGAACTTTCTGATATGAAAGAGAACAAAATAGAATTTAAGAACTTCACTAAAGCCATCCAGGAAACAAGTTTCACTAAAAATCAAAGTGGTGAATTCATTCAATGACAATTTTTTTCAACCAGAATCTATTCCAGTTACTCCTCACACAATTTTTTTAGTTTTTTATCACCAAAGGTCAGGCAACAACATCACAAAGCAAATCAAAAGATGTCTCTCTCAACAGAAAAAAGATGTCTCTCTCAAATTCACACAGTAGAATCTTAATTGCATTTCCTCTGTCTTGAAATCATCTTCAGCAGTAAACAGATTATAATCCCTTTTTAGTAAATTAAACAGACCCTCCCATATTTAACCCACAAAATGGGAATAAAATTAGACAAAAAACCATTGCTAAGCAGATAGAATCAGTTACTAATCACATCCTATAATTCAGTGTAAATGGGGCGCCCATATCGACATAAAATCAAACTCAGACCCGAATCGGTACTAAAGAGAACATAATTTCAAAACTTTATATCCATAAATAGGTCGTCAAAAACATCCATAACATACAGTAGCAATCATAAAAGAAGAGGACAAAATGCTCAATATACTGACCTTCTAATCTGGAGCTTTGATTGTCAGATGATTGAGGCATCCATGGGTAACTGCATTAGAGTATTAAGGGTTTTGCTTGATGGCAAAGAACCCTCTCTATCTCTCTGCTTTTTAAGTATGGTGATTTGTTGATTGAGCATTTGAGCTTAAAAAAGTTGACTGTGGTTCAAAAAGCAAATTATCAAATTTTTAACTTTCTATAAATTTACCTAAACAAAAAAACATAAAAAAAAAAAATTATTATGGTGAAGGTTCGATTTTGGAAGCGGAGCTGAAAGCTATGGAAACGGGGCTGAAACTGTGTTGGTCACTGGGAATCAGGTAAGTTTAGGTGGAAACTGATTCTAAGGCGGCTATCAGTTTAGTTATGCATAACAATGGTCCATGGGGAGTTCAATACAATTTGCAATTTGGGAATACCTAGAACACTATGATCAAGAATAAAATTTCTATTTGAAAGATTTGCATATATATATGTCAACATAGACAATTATTGAAAAATCAGGAAAATTAACTACAATATGTTGTGAAGACATGGAAAAACCTACACAATGGGGATGTAATTCTGAAAAAATAAGTAGTAAAAGAAAATATAAAAATGGAAAGTTAAAAAAATTTAGAAATTTTAAGAAAAATATATAAAACCTAGAAGAAAATATTATAAAAAAAAAAAAAAAAGAAGCATAATCCTATAGACAACAAAGAAATAAACATAAAAAAAAAAAAAAAGATAAAGGATGCGTTTGATTGCGAAAAAATAAATAAATTTTAGATAATTCAATTGTCTATAATATAGTTGTACGAAAATTATTAATTAAATGTATTTAACTGATTTAGTTTTTAATCTAAAAAATATTTTACTTGTCCATTTTTTTTAATGAGTATATGAAAGAGATGGAATAGATGAGAAAAAAAGATTAAATTAATTCGGAAATAAAAATCACATCTTTCTAAAAAAATATTTTCCTTGTTTTCAACGAAAATATGATCACGTGACCAAAAAAAAAAGAGGAAAAAATTGTCAATCAAATAGCACAAAAATATGAAATTTGATGAAAAAACACATTTTTCATAAAAAAAATATTGACAATTAAACGCATCCTAAATTCAAATAAGATCTATATTTATATCTATTAAATGGACCTTTTTTTTTTATTATTTTTTTACTTTACTTTTCATTAAAACTATGATGTTTATAAAATATTTTCTTCAATTAAAGTCAAAACTTTTTTAAAATTTTGTGGATTACATATAATAAATATGATAATTATTTATGTATACTCAGTGGAGTGGATTGGTTAAGGTTTGATTGGTGGATGAATAGCCGACGTCTGACTGTTTTTGTTCTTATTAGGGAATGTGATATTAGTGTACTAATTGCTTCTTAATAACTTGTGATTAGGAGGTGGTATTTTTTCCTAAAATCGAATATAACTGGTCGGTTCGGCTCCAATTCCTTTATTGAATGGATCAATTTTGTGACCATGCATTGAGAATCGATCAGTTCCAATTCAACTCTTAGTAATATCATACGAACTATAGTGAATTTGTTTCTTCCTAATTTCTCTTTTGCTGGTGTATTGCAAAAATATGCACAAGATATTTGAACATTAAATTTTAAAACTATCTCATGCCAAAATTTTACTTTCCATATGCTTCTTCCTATTTCTTTTACAGCAAAACCTAACGAGTAATCAACATTTAAATCTAAATAGTTTTACAAATACTTTACGAAGATTTATACCTCTAATGGAACCCCAATAAAAAAAAATGTATTTTTAGTTCAATCTTTCATAAGAACTAAAATTTCTTATTGTTTTCAAAGTGGTCGATCATCGAAATCAAGATCCTCTCCTTGAAGACTATTGAAGACAATTGGTTATAAATAATACACGCACTTTTTAATATATATTATAGTATGAAAATTTTTTATCCAGATTTTATGGTTTATATTGAGTTTAATAGTATATCCTAAGCCTTTATTTATAAGTCTTGAGCCTTCGAGGGTATTTATGTTTGTTGTCTTATTTAATTGATTTTTATCACTATATAATAAAAGAGGCAAAGCAAAAGTCACACATGTCGCCATTTCCCTTCGTCGTCAAAAATCCCCATTTTAAAAAAAAAAAAAAATTCCCTGAAATTCGTCAAAAATTCTCCCAGCCATTCCTCCTGCTCCATTATCTGACGCGACCACCCACTCCTCCTCCATTTTCCCACGCAACCTCCCATTACTTCTCATTCCTTTCCATTTGCTCGAACAATAGATTTTTGCTCCAACCTCGTGCATTTACTCAGGTTTGTATTATATTTTCCCCATTTCTTTGTGTCATTGTATAGCCATTCATTTATATTAATTTTCAGTGCCCAAACTCGGAATCC